AGCCGAACGGCCCAGACACCGCCGGCGTCCCCCCACTCCGAGCCAGCCCTGGGCCCAGCCCGCCGCCACCACCGCCGCCGCTCCGCACCCGTGAGCAGGATGTTAGGCCTCTTCATGCTGCCGCTCCGCGCCGCCAGCGGCGGCCGCTGGTCGCCTAGGAGACACGTGCGCGGGGGCCTCCACTTCCGCCGTCGCACGCCGATGGCGTCTCTCACCTTTCCCGCTGGGCCGGCAGGAGGGCGGGCAGTCAGTCAGTCAGTCAGTCAGTCAGTCAGGCGCACCGCGGGCAGCTAAGAGCCGCAGCAGGAGAAGGGCCTCTGGGATCTGGCAGTTCGGTGTGAGGGGGCTCGGCCTACGCGGTCCTGCGGCCGTCTCGGCCCCTCCGGGTGCTGCCTCGTCACCGGCCGCTCTGGGATCGGGGTTCTTCTCTCAAGCCCGGCGGTTGCAGCGGGGCCGCACGGCGCATGGGACCCGCCCGGGCTGAGGATGTCCGGAAGCTCTTCGGGAAGGCAGGCGGCGCCGCCGCCGGAGGTAGGCCGCGGAGCCGGGGGGAAAGGGGGCTCGGGGGCTGCTCCGCCTGCCGGGGCGAGCTGCAGCCGAAAGTCCGCCCTGAGGAAGGTTTCTGCAGTTTCCGAGAAGAGTCCGGCAGCTCTTATTAGCGATTAGCGGTATTTTCAGGACCGACAATTATTCCTTGGTCTTGTTGGCAGTTTCTCTTCAGTGCGTTTTTTGTGTGTGTGTTTTTTTTTTTTTTTTTAAATGTGTGTAAGACGTTTCTTTTCTTACTGGCGCAGTGTGTAAAAAGGAAACCCTTTCACTACGGTCGTGTCAGGCTTGCTGTTAAATACGCAAATTCAACTGAAAATAGCTATTGTCAGAATAACGTTAGAACTAAACCGTACAGAGACAAATCATCTTTCCCAATCGCTAATGCCACTTACTCTTAGACAATGTTTTGTCTGGTAATGGTCTGTTGCGTTAATTTATAAGACATGTAAACTGTAGAGTATTCACAGACCTTTTTGGAGATGACGTGTCTATTCTGCTATGCCCGTTTTAACAGAAGTGTGTTTTAGCATATAGCCTGTTATCATTCCTATGCTAAAAGTTATCGTGTGGGTGTTAGCAGAGAAGAGTGTGTGACTGTTGTGATACTATTTTGGGACCACAGGTAGTCTGAAAAGTGGCTCTGGGATGTGAGTTTGTACACTGGACCTAGCAAGGTATTTCTCAAATCCAAAATAAAATATTTCTACTATTAGCATTATCAGTGTCAGACAGACTTCTGATACATGTGACAGTTTGATTCTAGATCAGTCCAAGCTTTCTTATGTGATAGGCAAGTAATAATACCTGATTTTATTGTGCTGCCTAAATATTTTTTTCTCTGTTGCCTATTTCTAACTTTTAAAACACAAATGACTGCACTGTAAATGTTCAAAGAAGAACAAAAAAAAGCCACCTACTGAAACTATACAGAGACAACATGAACTTAACCTTAGTGTAACAATGCTATAAATAAGCTTATGCTATTTTTTCATCCTTGTATCTATTTTAATTTTATCTCTTTGGTTTGAATGTGTGTGTTCAAGTTTTCAACTTGTTCTGATTTGCCAGTTTGCTGCAAAATATCACAGCGTGTAGGGTGTAGCTTATTTCTAATGCTGAAGAAACTTGTGATTCACACGTTCAAAAAATGCCCATGTTTGTTGCTATGTAGTAGTATGACTTTCAACTGTAATTAAATTCTTTACATCTGTGAGAGATTCTTACATACATTTGATAAAAATCTCCAATTTACTAGAGACAACTGTACCCAATTAAGGGGAGGAGAGTGCTACATTAATAGTAAAATGTTTGTATTTTACCAGGTAGCAGATTGGTTGGCACATTCATTTGATGACTTCTTTGGAAACACAGATATTTCTTCTAATGCCATTCCTGTGAAGCCACTAGAAGGCAACTCTGGAAAGAAACAGCAGCGGAAGAAGAAAGACCTGTCTTCTGTGCCAGAAAGTAGCAGAACCAAAGTTCTGCCCAGAAAAAGAGCAAAGTCGTCTTCAGTAGATCTGCCTTGTAACAAGTCCAGACAGGACTGGAGCCAGTCTCAAGATGAGCCATGGGTAGATAGATATAGACCTGAAACTCAGGTGTGAGAGTTATTCCAAGTGCTAATGTAGTAGTGACATTATAGTGTAACATTGTGGTGTAACATGTTGTGCTTCTGGTCTGTAATCTGTATCGGTCAGGTTCTAAGTATATTCTATTTTATTAGGGCAATGAACTACTAGTTTGATTTGTTTACTGCCTGTAGGTAAGATTTTAATGAGCTATTTCTCTATATGAGATGTAATTTTTCCTCAAGCTTCCCGAGGAGATGAAGCTACCAATGAGATGTTGTTTCCTGTCCATCCACTCCTAAACTGAATTTCAGCCCTATCTGACAACTCCAAGTACTAGTAAAATCCACAGCTAAAGAGAGAGAGTGAGTTAGTGCACTCATTATGGAAAAGATAACAGAAATTATTTTACATGTTATAAGAGATCAATTAGCTTGTCTGTTAGCATGTTCAGACTACTTTGGCTAATTGCAGTTTGTGCTCTCTCTTACTTGCTTGATGCATCTTAGGTGTGACTTTGTGAGGGGTGTGGTGTTGTGGTACCTTAGCGCTTCTAGGAGAAAGGACTCAAATCTGTAGTAAACCTTTCTTCACTGGTTCTGCTCATGGAGCAGCTTTTTTGCAGTGTGTTTTAAAGGTATCAGCATGTATGTTAACTATCCGTTTGTTAGCTTTGAGTGCTGGATGATGTAGGTAAGTTAGTGTAATACTTGTATTTTATATTTAAATATTTAATAGCTCCTCTCTGGAGAGGAATTGAATTACAAGGCTGCAAGACGAGTAAGATGCATGAGATTTGCAGAAGTTCCAAAAACTTATGTAGTATTAGAGTTAGTAGAACCTAAAAAGTACCAGCTCCAGCAATAGCTGTAAAGCATACTGACACAAACAGGCTAGATGGTAATGTTGTTACTTTAGGAATAATAATTCATTATTTCACAGCTGCAAGCAATAGAAAATTGGTTTTTGGAGGAAATGAATTGAAATTATTATCCTTAACTATTGCACTTACTTCTACTTAGCATAACATAGGTAACTGGAATATACACATGTATGTCTGTTAATATTTTAGTTAGCATATTTCTGTTCTTTAATCTCATCATTATGGTCTTAGTAATTAAGAGTTGTATATATACATTTCATATATTTTCATCTTCTTTTAGAGTGACCTTGCTGTGCAAAAGAAGAAGATTGAAGAAGTTGAAACCTGGTTAAAAATACACATATTTCAGAGACAGCCAAAGCAGGTAATCTTGCTAAAATTAGCAGCTAGTGATACAAAACTGTACAAACGAGCTGAATTCAATTTTATTTTCATTTCAGAGAAAAACTATAACTTAGAGGTAGTGATTATGTATCTATTGCATTATAAGAAATCTGTTAAGAACACAGATTAGAGCCTGTACGTTTGTTTTAGGCTAGTACTGCTAAGAGGTAGATTCTGGTTTTGCTCAGAAATGTTATTTTCTAGCATCCAGTCAGTTTATACCTCTTCAGTGTGTGCTTGTAGCTACATTTTATCTCCCACAGATTAATTTTAAATATCTTGGAAAATTTCCAGTTTCACTGACTTAATGTAACAGGACTTTTATAACTTCTTGATTGATAAGAGACATATGTGTAATTTACCAGTCTTGCCTTCTTCAGACCCCAGTGTCCAGTTCAGTATCTATTATGCTGGTAGGCTACATGCTGTGCAGTTAACTAAATGAATACATTAAAAACTGAGAGCAGGGCTTTCAGAGTTCTGGTTTAGTTCTTTCTATCCGAATACTCAACAGGTAAAGCAGTAACACAAAATACTTAACTTAGTTTTTATTGCAAAACCAGAATCATTACCAGAGCAACTGGAAGAAATTCAACCAGTATTAATTTTCAGCCAGCTTTCAGTCTGTCTTTATCATGTTTGTGATTTTTTTTTTTTTTTTTTTCCTTGTGACAGGCTGGCTCTGTTTTACTACTGACTGGTCCTGCTGGTTGTGGAAAGACTGTGACTCTACAAATTTTAGCAAAAGATCTTGGTGTTCAGGTGCAAGAATGGACCAATCCAGTATCTTTAGACTTCACAAAAGAAGAGTTAAGGAATATATTTGGCCATGGTAATTTTTTCCCCCTTCCACTTACTTTTGTCATTTATGTATTTTGTATTTTTCATTCTTTTGTGTTTGTCACATATGAAGTCAGATCCACATCCATGTAAGTCAGATCCTTAGTGTTTAATAAGAATCTTTCTTTTGCTTTTGTCTGAGAAGGGACTTAGGTTTTTTTTACAGTATTTACACCAGAATAATTTACAGTTCAAGTTAATGTAGAGAGCTGTGTAATAGCCTGGATATCATTTGAGCCAATTAAATAAAAATAGGTTAGTCTCTCTTCATCTTCATTCTCAACTGAATTCTACCCTTTAAAAGTTCTTTTGTATTTGTCATGTGTTTGCCAAAGGGCTTGGCTGCTGGTGTTCGATGGCTACTGTCAGAAAATAGCATGGGTGGTTATTAGTTTTTGGGGGTATTTATATTCTACTTGGTATCATATAGGATACATATTTTTAATTAGTTTTCTTTTTCAGACTCAAATTTTCATACGTTTCCGAGTCAGGCCCAAGCAGCTCTCTTTCAAGATTTTCTGTTAAGAGCAAATAAGTATAACAAACTTCAGATGCTTGGGGAGTCCTCAGAAAATGATAAAAAGATTATTCTTATTGAAGTAAGTGAAAACTTGTGAAATCTTGTTTTGAAAACAATACCTTTTATTATAATATTGACGTGCTAGCTTCAGCTGGTGGATGAGTGTTGCCAGAAGAGTCTGCTTTACTGCAGATGAATTCTTTATTACTTTTTGAGTCTCTACAACAGTCTAGAACCAAGTTCTACCTGTAGTTAAACTATATAAGATAATAGGCAGAAATTGGAGACTGGTTTGTGTACAGAAATAAGTAATTGAGTATTGAGAAGTAGATCAAAACAATATTGAAAAGTCATACTTACGTTTCTTTGTGATTAGCTTTCTAGAAACAGGTATGTGTATAAACAGGAGGAGGGGGGGAAACCCAACACCCACCCCCCACCC